GGCTGTTTGGGGGTGCTGGGGGTATTTGGAGGGTGTTGGAGAGGGAGTCGTGGGGCCATCTGGGGGGATTGGGGGGTAAGGTGGACGCTGTTCCCGAGGGAAGGCCTGGGGGCAACTGAAAGGTGGTTTGTGAGGGAGGCTGTTAGCAAGGAGAGAGGCCTGGGGGGGCTGGGGGATGCTGGGGTGTTTGGGAGGCTCTGGAGGCATTTAGGGGAGGTCTTACGGTATCTTGAAGGAGGGAGGTGGGTTTGGGGGGACAATCTGGGTGGGTGGGGCAGTTTGGGTGGGGAAGAATGAGATCAGGGATGAGATAGGGAATGGGGGGCAGGAAATGGAGTAGCCTGGGATTGCTGAGGCAGATGGGGCAAAGCAGGCGGGCGTAGGAGAATCTCTGAGGCATGGAGTGAGAGGAGAGCGGGGCCGGAGGCACTAGGGGCACAGGAAGATTGTGGAGGACAGAGGTGTGAATAACTGTGGCAGAACTTTGTGTTCCTGCCCTGGGAGGTGAGGCCAACCACCGTGACCCTTGTGTGTGGGCGTTGGGCACAAATAAACCCTTGTTACGAATCTCAGTTTACTTCTGGCTCACCTGTGACACATGCCATTCCTGCCGCCCTTCCTCTGCTCTCGGGCCTTGTGAGAGCAGCGTGACTGTACAGGGAGGAAGTGTTTGGAGTTTGACGGATGTGTGTGTGTGCGGTGGGAGCGGAGGTCAGCAGGTGATGTGGGATTTTGGGAAACGGTGTGCGGGAGAAGCACTGCATCTCACCGAACTCTTCTGTTGTTGTAGGAGTGCCGGATTGCGCATCCCATTGTTAAATGCACTTATTGCAGGACTGAATTCCAGCAGGAAAGGTAAATAACCGCTGAACTGGGGAGACTGTTTTCTTTAGAACAAACACACCCAGGGAACCGTAACGTTTCCACACCTTTGGTGACTGAGCTGTGCCTCTGTGGTGTCCTTAGATTTGCACCTTTTGCTTGGTTTTTATTTTTGGTCAGTGCTCAGATGCATCTTCCTGTGAAGGACCTAGGTGCATCTTCCCACAAGTTTTCCTCTGCCCTGATTTCTGGTATACAAAAATTATTTCCTAATGTGTTTCCTTTAGCTGTGCTTTTGCCCTTTTGCATTTTTGCAAGTTGTGTAGCTTATAGCGTAAGGATTGCTAAACCCAATAGCTGTGCGCAGGCAGTATATGGGGTGTTCTTTCCTGTGTCTGTTGGTCAGGACAGAGGTGTATTTGTCCTGCCTTAACCTCATCATGCAGACCAGACCTCCTCCAGAACTGAGGCTGTCACCAGTGCTGAATCACACCTGCTGCCAATTAGCTGTTGATCAGACTCCTGTATTTGTAAGGACAAAAAACTGGTGTCATCTGGGTATGCCTTAATTAAAAGATACCTCCTACTAATACTACTTTTTGGCAAATTATCCTCAGCCAGATGGGGATAGGAAATGCACTTTGATATCCGGGTCCCTAGTGAAGATGAATACAGTCGTGCCAATAGAGAGGGAGCCAGAGGGAGACTGAGATCCTAACCACAGAGGTTTAATTTTCTTTGAGGAAGTGTTAATCTGTCCTTCTTTTTAACAGCAAAACCAACACAATATGCAAGAAGTGTGCTCAGAACGTGAAGCTCTATGGAACAGTAAGTGAGCAGGGCTCATTCTCAACAGCCTCTTTTCCTTTCATCTTCCTTGTCTTTATC